GGTGGTGGGTGGTGGTGGTGGTGGCGAGTGAGTGGCAGGTGGGTGGTGGCTGGTGGGTGGTAGGTAGGTGGTGGTGGCTGGTGGTGGCTGGAGGTGGCGGAAGACAGTGGTGAAAAAAAAGCTGAAAACTCAAAACAGAAACACATTTTTTGAGTTTACATATTTTGACCAAATCTATAAACTGAGACCACTGATTTATAAATCAAAAATTTTATCAAACAAGTCTTTATTTGAGTTTTTTAAATTTTTGTAAATATAAACAGAAACTGAAAACGTAAGTGTTACTAAACGGCACCTTAATGTTTATGGATTGTATTACTAGTGAATAAAAACAATAAATAATACAGGGAGTTTTACTGTAGAGAGGAAACACATTTTGCAGGAAAATAATTTGCAAAAAATTAATTTTTAACTGAAAAATATTTAATTTGTATCACAGAATCTGTACACATACAAATTGTAAACAAATTGATTTTTTGTGTTAAAATTGTACGAAAATATTTTCAGTAAAATCAATTTAATGCAAATTATTAATAAAATAAAACATAAGAAATTCTTACAAAAATATTGCAAAAATTAGAATAGTTTGTGACCAAGTAGTGTTCGAACCTTGTGTCTTTAAGACAAAAATTTGCCCTCGCCTCTGGTGTTTGCGAATGATGGGCATCCTATCTCTAGGATACACGATCACCACGCATAGAAATTGCACAACTTTCTGCATGTACAACGAACCAGTTTGTGCTATGTACTCCCTCTTTTATATTGGACTATTGACATATATATGAATCCTAAAATTTTATCTTTTAAAAATGAAAGCCATGGGATGGAACGATATTTTAGAGTTATTCGTAACCATTTTGACAGGTCATGACTCTTGTGTCACACCCTTTCATCTAAAGAGGCATTATGCATTCTTTAATTCAAATAGAGTCAATTCCCGTTCACTTCTATATTTTTTCCAACAAATTTCACTTATCTGTGCCTAAAAAGAGAAGATTTTGAGTTTGCCAAACAGCTCCTACTGTGACTCTAATGTAAGCTGTTTTTTCATGACATGGTTGTGCATTTGTGTTTATAGGGTCATTTTCTTTATCAAAACATTCAAAAAGTGCAGACTAAATTGTTTAATATGTTTATTAAGTTGTCAAGGACAAAGAAAGTAAAGATTCGTGAATATGCATTTGAAGTATCATCATCTTGTGTTCCTATATAGTTGAAAATATCCTTGTCATTTAGGTCACTTAGGTAGGTCACTCCAACTCATGCTATTGAAGCCGATATAGCTAACAGTTTTGGGATAGCACCCAAAGCAACTATGGAATAAGTTGGTTGTCATGAGAATCTTGGCTTCCTAGATGTTGACTACAAAATTTATTTGCGTACAAAAGACAGTTAGCGAAGAAACGGGATGCGAGAAGTGTTTGTTAGATTTAGAAAAAATCCAATTAGAGAATCCCTCTTCATTTTTTGCTATACAGTTGGCTGAGGATGATTTGATGACCAACTTGTTCTGGAAAAATGCGAGGATTCGGGAATGATGTTTGTTTTGACATTGGCATGCAAAACAATTAAAGGGTTGCCCATTTGCACTATTGGGGGTAAATTCTCTCAAACAAACTATTGTATTACTTCACAACAAAACAATATGAATGTTGAAGTGGTGGCTTGAAATGTTCATCAAAGCAATGTCAAGATGCAACAATGGTTAATGCAACAATTCAAGTAATGTCAGAAAGTCACCATGGGTTTTGTTTGTGACATATGTATCAAAATGTAACAAAGCACCTTAGTTCACCTTTTCACAACAAATCATTTGTCAAAGATTTTATTACTAGTGTTTATTATTTTGAAGAGGAGTTTATAAATGCATGGAATGAAAAGCTTAAAAAGCGCAATCTTGAGGAAATAAGTAGTTGGAGGAAAGATTCGAGGAAGAGGGGAACAGGGTTTTGGTCTTTGCACAACATACATTTTGTGCAGACAAGTATTACTCGATGGAGTGAAAGCATGAATAGGCTTGCAAAGACCACCTTGGCTAGCCAAAAAAAAAATTTAAAAATGGGTGTAATATCACCAATCTTTAATCTTAAATCATGCAACTAGTTTATACAAACAATAGATTTTTGAGACGTTTCAACAACTATTACAAATGTGGAATTGCAATATTTGCATATGTGGAGAGAATGAAACTGCTTCAAGGTATAAAGTCTATGCTTGTGATAAGCATCGAGAACACACGATCACATTTAATCCACTTGACGGTTCGCTCAATTATAGTTGTTTCTATTTTGAGTTTGTTGGAATTTTGTGTTGTCATGCATTAAAAGTACATGATTTGAGAAGCAGACTCCATCTGCATCAAATGGATGTTGAACCTTTAGATTTTCCAATTTGTAAAAGAAATCAAGAGTTCTTATTGGGCCAGGACAACATGATGAAATGGCAGTCTCAACTAATTTTTATTTTTATTTTTTTTGGGAAGCAAAAGAAAACCTTACAAAAACAAGAAACTCAGTTACTTAACTTGCAAAACAATGGCTTTATACTATTCTTCAGCCATGACCACTAATCTACTCTGACCGAAACTACTTCACCACCAACAGGGTTAGTCCCTCCATGTGCAACTACACCGGTGTCTACAGTACCCCCATATCCCAATACCACCAAAACCTCCACTCAGCATAGACCTCAACCTGGCTGACATAGCCAGGCCCCTCTCTACCAAGCTCGGCCTCCTTCCTTACCTTGCTCTCCTCCATCTAGACTGTAACCTATGGACTTTGACTTATCCCCCAGAGTTGGCAAACTTGAAACTCTTTGAGCATGACCTCATTAACAACACATTTGTAGGACCTTTTCCTACTATTGTGCTCTCTCTTCCTACTCTACACTATCTCAATCTTCGCTACAAGTTCACAGGGCCATTGCCTTTTGGGCTTTTCAATTACAGCAACTTTGATGCCATAATTCTGAGTATCAATGCTTCACTTCTGTGATTCCACCCAATATAGGTGGAAGCTCCACCTATGGTGGTGGTACATTGAAGAAGCTCAACCTTGGTCAGACCTTCCTAATGTGAACTGAGTTTGGACCACAGTTCACTAGTGGTCTCAGCTTCGAACACCTGAGTTAATCACTTGCAGAACAAAAATTAATAGACTTTCGTTAAAGGCCAAGGCAAACAGGCATCTACTATAATACCAGTTGTGCTAAAATCAGGAAAAATATGCAAGCCTATAATTTCATCCACTAATATGTAATAATGTACATTTTAAGAGTTAAACCTATGTATATATGAACAAGAGGAAGGGAATATTCTTCTTCAACCACCGGGTATCTAATCCTTTCTCTCCTTGTAGTCTCGAAGCACTTTTTCCCGCTCAGCAGGAGTTGCAGACAGCAGCCATTTGCTGAACTCAACGTCTCCCATGTTCATGAACTGTGCAAGAATGCTATATTGGCTCTTTTTTCTCAACTTTGACGAAGCAGCATTTTCTTTCCCACCTACTAGATCTGATTTTCTTCTTCCTGTGGTGAGAATGCATGAGTTCTTTTTGAGGCCATCATTTTGGGTCACACCCACTTGTTGCTTCCCTTGTATCCCAGGTCCGGTGTTGACAATATCTTCATTACGATGAGCATACACAATGCCTGACCATCAAAGGCAACAATTGGATTTGGATCATAAAGACGGGACTCGGGGCCAAGAACAATTCAATAGAAAAATTATTTTATGAATTCAGATCAAGTGTACATTGATAGTAAATATGTTTGTAGGTTTTCCTCTAAAGCTAAAAAAAAACCCTCAGAGAGAAATCTCCTAAGAAAGTAATTTATTTATGGAAATACCATATGTGAGAGTTCTGGGGCTATAACCATTGTAAATTTATCTCGCTCCTTTCATCTATTTGTTCTGTTTATAGAGTGGAGTATTGCTTTTAAGAGTTTTGCTACAATAACATGATGAATATAGAGTCATAAAATAACCATCCATAACTTTCGGGTAATTCTATTTGCACACTACAAAAAATCTCAATACAAACCATTTATGTCATTCGGATATAAATTTCTGAACAAAAGTCAAATGTTTAGACATAAACTTATGAACAAAAAACAGTTGTCTGGATGTAAGCAGTTGAACAAAATGTATATCAGAACAATTCATTTTTATTCATAAATTTATGTCTGAACATTTGACTTTCATTCGGAAGTTCATATCCAAATGACATAAATTGTATGTACTGAGATTTTCTGTGGTGTGCAAACTTTGCCCTTTAAGCTATTGAGATGTCAAATTCACTATGTCAGGACAAGTATAAAAAATGCATGATAAAGCTTTACCTTAAAAATAGCGATTAAAAAAAATAAAAAAAACTTTTCCTTTAAACAACAAAAATAAAAGCATGAATAAATTAGCCAGTTGTAAAGTCTTGCAATTTCCAATATAAAAACTTTCCCAAAATAATGTTTTTAGACTATACCACATAATTTTTTCCCCAAATTTATAATCTATGAGAGTAGGTCCTATGCACAATACTACATACATGCTTTTCAAAATCAAGGGCATCCCTGGCACCTTTTTAGCTTCGCCCCTTATGTTTACAATATCCCTCCACCACGTTATCCCAATCTAACCTTATATTGGATAATCCAAGATGGTCACTAGAAACCAGAATTTCTTCAGTGTGATTAGTCCTCTCAACAAGACCAAACCATAAGCTGACACTTTTTTCCCTGCTAACTCAAGTTCTGAAGATATAGTAGAAGATGAAAAAGAAAGGGAATAAAATAAGCTCACCTAGGTCTGATAGCACTGGCTTAGCTGTCAAAGAACTCTCCACATCTTTTGCTTTACTAGTTTCAGCAGTAACTGAAGTTTCATTTGCTTCTGTTGAAGGGACAAAATACATCCCAAGTTTGCCTAAATCCTGTTTTCTACCAGGACAATATCCATCATCCTGTCCTTGCTTTTCATGTAATTCTATGATCTCACTAGTAAAAAGCTTGTCAGACAGATCACGAAATAGATTGCAGATTCCAAAAAGTTCTCCTTGAAATTCCTTGCAATCCTGCGAAGAAAGCCAAATTAAGTGTAAAGAAAGAAAACTATTGTCTGATCTTAATACAATTTAGAAAAAAGGCAATGATATGCAAACGCAAAACTTATACAAAGTGTCACATTTGGATCTTATCATTTTAAATCAAAAGACCCCTCAAAGTGATCTTTATTTCAAGAATGTCACTGTCACATCATTCTGGTTAAGTATTCTGTATGAATTTTCAGATAGAATAACATTTTCTTAAGAAAATGGTTAGCACTGGGAGAACTAAAACATATCAGTTCCCCTTACCTGGACACCTTCAAAATATCGTTTCTCCATTCTTCCAGAAACAGCAATATTTGATAGTTGCTGCTTGTACACCTGGCGGCTATAAACAAGTTCCTCAAGAGATCCAGCTGCAAGAAGGCGGAAAACCACGACATGTTGCTTCTGTCCATAGCGAAATGACCTGTCCTGGGCCTGTAAGTCTTGCGCTGGGTTCCAGTTTGGATCAAATATTACCACACGATTAGCACTGACAAGATTCAATCCAAGCCCACCAGCTCGAGTTGATATTAGGAACACCTACAACAGGAATTAGATTCCAATAGAAAATTGAATCACATATTTCAATCTCAATCCTTATGTCAATTTCACCTGTTTGCTTGGACTTGAATTGAAATCATCAACAAGAGATTGACGTAAGCCAGTCGGAGTGGAACCATCAAGTCTTGAGAAGCAATAGCCTTTGCGTATAAGAAACTTTTCCAGTATGTCTAGCATCCTGCGTATAGTAATACTTCAGAAGCAGAAGAAATATATACTTCGAATGTGGCAAGTATTTGTTCGAACGTGGCAAGCATTTGTTCGAATGTAAACCTCTTCAGTTTGACACATGGGCCACTGTTTTGAAACAGTAGCCCCAATGTTTGAATGCAGATGGTTTTCGTTCTATTCCAACTATCACGATGGTGCACATTGAGTTGCTCACTTAGGAAATTGGTTCCTTGTTAACTTAGGATTACTGTTTTCCATGTAAGAGGTCTACACTTCATTGTTTAGGTTACACACTACATTTGCTTAGGTTAGCCACTATATTGAGAGACTTGGAGCATATAGTATTCTAAGAGAGTTTCATTATAGTCTAGAGATTGCTTTCTCATCTCTGTGAGAAAGTGTGCTAGGTCTACATCTAGATTGCGTTGCATGATTCATTGAAAGAGAGGGGAGCTCGTGAGGTTGTGATCGTGTGCTGGGCAGAGCTTGTGAAGAACGAAGTCAAAGTGAGAGACTGAACAGAAGTGGATAGCGAATTGCTCAGTGTTAGAGCAGGTACCATCTGTGCGTCTGAATCTACTTAATCTTGGAGCTCAAGTGGTTTGTTTGTCCCATGGTTTTTTACCCTTTTGGGGTTTCCACGTTGAATACTATCTCTCCGTGTGATTGCTTAATTTTATTTATTAATTGGCTCTTAACTCAGTAAAATCTAGTAAATCTGCTGATTTTAAAGACTCCTGTTTAGTTTTTTAGAACAGAAAAATTAGAGGCTATTCAGCAGACTTAGATTGAAAACTTGTCATCTCACTTTACATTTACCTTCAAAATATTCTTACAATAACACTTACAAATTATGGAGAATATTCTTTTGGAGAAAAGTACTTTTAGTTTCACATTCCACAGCTCCCATGAAATGAAAGTTTAAACAGAACATGGCAAGTATTCAGTTACATTTTTGGTCTAGACATGGTCAAATGACCCCAACTTGGCAGAAATGCATAATCTACAGAATGTTTCCACTTGATCTCCAATAATGTTTAATTTATTCCACAGATGGCTCTCCCTACAATCATTGAGTGACATTAAGTGGAGAATTATCAAGTTCTGTTTTATTTTTTTTGTTTTTTGTTTTTATCATAGTTGATGACTACTAATGTATAATGAAGTTCAAATACGAGACCTACATACTACATTTCTAAAACATATTCTTGCCATGGGATCATAAGCACCTTAAACAATATACTGTGACCCCCCACCCCATAACACACAAATAGTCTCTACTTTTTCTACTGTCTCTTATCAATTTTGCAAAACGTAGGTAATTCCAAATAAGGGGGACAAAATGTACTTAGTTCCCCTCAAACCTGTTCATTCCTAATCTCATACTTCCCAAATATTCAACTTCCACAGCTACGCCATCAACACATGCTTGCTCAGCTGTGCAAACACAAAATGATCATGTGACGGAAAAAATGGGCACATTCATAATAAGTATCCCAATAATATGAGTTATTATGCAAAAGCTTAGCAAGCAGAGAAAAAACCAAAAAAAAAAAAATTGGGGAGAAGAAAAAAAAAAGTACACTTGAAAAAGGGACAAAAGAGCGATATCATGACACATCACCTGACAGAGTAACTGAAGAGAAGAATCTTGTCACCCTTTGAAATCCATGACAACATCAATTTCTCCAATGCTCTCATTTTTCCACAGTGTTTAACATCACTCAGGCCCATAAAACTGTCATTTTGAGTGTAGCCTCCCACCAAATCGATATCGGTACCAAAAACCGCAGACGCAAACTCTGCATCTTTCCTTTGTTTATATGGGTCATCCCTGGGATTGGGTTTAATTAATTCCAGGTGATTGCTTATCTGTCAAAAAACTCTAAAATGTAAACATACAAAAACAACAGAAATCGGATATTAACAATTTCAAGAGGAGCTATACTCATTACAATCATAGGTTGTGTCCAGATTAGCAACCCTACCTGATCTTAAGATGCATCGTTGAAAAAACATATAATTGTGAAAGGCTCTAACGATTTACCATGATGTAAGGATTGAGACAAGGCTTATAAATATTGCCTAAAGAATGGCCTTAAAGCTTAAATCAATGAAGGCACATAACTCAACATGTACTGCATATTTGCAACACATGCCTGATGTTCTCAGGTTTGAAGCTTACAAACCCAAACATAAGCAGTTTTCATTACATAATCTAGAATTTAAGTTTTCTAAAATTTATTTTAATTAACTTGTTTTGCCAACAATTCATCAAAGCTACAGAACTAGATAGAGTTGTGCAGAGAATAAGAATACTTGTGGCAATAGAATACGCGCATCGTTCTATCATCAACAGGTAAACATGTGGCAATAGAATAAAAGAGGAGACATGCTTAGATATACATATATACAAATCTTGTCGAATTCTTTATTGGGTCACTTCGTCTTCTTGTTGAAGTGCTTATACCTTTATCATGATAACATTATAGCGATTGTGTCAATATTAAATCTAAAGGCATAATACAGCAAAAGTAAGTCATCACGAGTCTGTCAAAAATAGATACTTCAAAATCTCATTACCTGTTGAAGCTTGACAAGGCAAGGAAGAACCATACAAAAAGGGCATGAGTCACAACCGTCAGGGTTGTCCCTGTGAAGATAACGCCAGATGATTCCATCAGGAACAATCCTTTTGCAACATTCTACTTGGGTAAGGGGGCTTCCGCAGCTACACGGGAGGTCCTTATTTATAAGGCATTGGACATCAGGTAACTGTAACATCCTTGTATAAACTCGTTTTTGCAACTCGCTCATGGCACAAAATACAACATTATCTTCCTTGCCCATCATAAGATGTCCAATGGTCTCCTCTTTAGTCCTTCTTAACAGATATTTACGCAAAACTGCTACTAGGTGCTGTTTTCGCTTATCAGCAACCCGGACAAATCTTTCAGGAGCAGTTGCCCTCTGGCCATGCTTGAGGGGTTCATCATAGAACTCCCGAAAATGTTCTCGTGTTCCCAAGCACCCAGGTACAACCCAGTCAAAGAGATTGAATAGTTCCATAATTTTATTCTGCATTATGGTTCCTGTGAGACCATATCGCTTCCGTGTTCTAATTTCTAAACATGCTATGTAGAGTTTTGATTTCTCATTTTTAAGCCGGTGTGCCTCATCAACGATTATAATCTCCCATTTAACCTCTGACAAAATGGTGCCATGAATTCTATATGTATCAAAACTGGTAATAAGTATCTCAACTCCATGTGCTTCTACTTTCTCAAGAATCAGGTCACGGTTTGGACCATGGTAAATAGAAACACTAAATGTTGACCACTTAGAGAATTCATTCTCCCAATTTTGAATAACAGAAGAAGGACAAACTATTAGTACAGGGCCCTTCTTCCCAACCTGATTTCCAGTTAGAGATGTGGAGTCACCAAAGTCTCCATCTTTTCCAAACACAGCTGCCAGGAAAGCAATTGTTTGAATGGTCTTTCCCAGTCCCCTTTTCCAAGTTTAACAAAAGAAAAGAAAAGAAAAGAAAAGAAAAAACAAGAGGCAAAAAATCGACATGAGTAAAACACAGTAAAGCAAACAATTTTTTGTTCAATAAAGAATTATATGCCAACACAGAAAAGTCAGAATGTTAACAATGCATTTCTAATAGAGTACTTAGTTCCGCAGCTCTGGGAGAGATTTCCATGATAAAAAAGGGATAGAGTCAATGCCGCTGCTAATAAATTCCAATTCTGCCTATCCGCTTAAAAGCAAACCCTCCCACCTATCCTATACATTCGTCAAGGCCCGCCTGCTAGGATTAGGATAGATGTTTCTCGCGCAAGAAACATCCGTCTTATACTTACAAAAATGGATGCAAAAAATGCAGTAGACACATTGATTGTCCACTTAGTTAATTGTGTACACCCACAGGGCCACATTCCCTTGTATTATGGCCCTAAATTGATTTGAAACTGTAAAAAATGCATTTTGCAAATTGTATTTTTCAGACCAAGTAATGGCAATGCATCCCCCAATTTATGGAAAGTGATTGATATTTTACATGACTATATTTGGATTGTGTAATAACCAAAAACAGGTGTTAAGATACAAGTGGTTTTCTAATTGTTATAACTATCACTATTATGAACTTTGTCTCATACATATATTGCAAGACAAATGGGTGAGCTTGGGAATGCTAACTCATGACTCAACCCTTCTTAAATACTTCGTTTTCTCAAATGACTAAATTATAAAATCAATCTCTTTGCATTTTTAAAGAGAAAAAGAAATTCATAAAGTAAATAGTTTCATGTCTCAAAGCAAATTAATAATATAAAACCCTGTGCATTTGAAAGGAATAAATAATAATTTACAAAGCACAACATTTAAAAATGCTGAAAAGTGGAAGCAACCAAGATCGAGACTCTAAAAATACAACCAGCAAAACAATGCAGTAGAATATTAATAAATCATATAAACTAACATATCATCTCCCAGAATGCCTCCACGGTTGTTCTTGAACAAGTTATACAAAAATTTCACTCTTGTTCGTTCAACCCTTCTTAAATACCTCGTTTTCTCAAATTTTTTTTGATAAATAATCAAACTTCATTAGAAAAGCATCAAAACGATGCAAAGAATACAAAAGGATGACCCAAAATCAAAGGTCCAAACAAACTAACTAATCAAATCCTCCATGAAATCTACAAAAACCAAAACATTAGGATCAACCGAACTTGTAACCAGCTATGCAACATTCTCAACAACCTACTCTCTAACCAAGAAACCGAATGACATACATCCTAAGAAACCTACCTGTTACGCTCCAACCACACCAACCAAAGCAAACCATGGGAAGCAAGCACCCAAGCCTTCCTATGCCTCTTCCCCACCCTACTCCCACCCTAACTTTGTAACACACCCAACACAGACTCCGGCTGCATACAAACCAAACCAAACCAAACCAAACAAAGCAACAATGAAACTCCATAGCCTAGAAGCAACCAAACAATGAATAACCAAATGATCCATCGTCTCCGCATCCTTACAACACATGCAACACCAATTGACCAAAACATGCCTTCGCCGAATTAAGTTGTCAATAGTCAAAATATGTCCCAAAGCAGTTGTCCAAACAAAAAAAAACAACTTTAGACGGTGAACCTGTCGCCCAAGTACTCTTCCATGGCAACACTATAGCATTACCCCCACAAGCACACCATAAAATGAAGAGACCGAGAAAGCCCCTTAAATCTAGGACAATCCCACGCCAAAGAATCTCCCACATTCTCCCCAAACCTCATCCCATACGAAAACCCTAGAAGGTCCACTAGTTGATCCATCTCCCAATCCTGCACATCCCACCAAAAATGAACATTCCAACCAATCGCCTGCCCCTGCTTAACTCCAACCAAAGCAACCACCTCCTTCCTATCAGCTACAATAGCATAAATCAAAGGGAACATACTCTCCAAAGACCACTACACCACCTGTCCTTCCAGAATTGAGTCCTATCCCCCACCCTTACTTTAATCCAAATCCTATCCCAAAACTCCTTCCATCCTAACCAAATCCCCTTCCACACACCTTGACTATGAGATTGACCCACCCTATTTGAACACCACCCCCCTATCCACTCTATTCTTGGCCACCACCACCCTCCTCCATAATCACTCCTCCTCCACCGCAAAACGCCACAACCACTTCCCCAGAAGAGCCCGATTAAACGCAACCAACCTCCTAACACCCAATCCCCCCCACTCCTTAGGAGTATAAATCCTCTCTCACGCCACCAAATGATAATGAAACCCCTCCCCTACACCACCCCACAAGAAATACCATTACAGTTTCTCCAAACGCCTCGCAACCACCGCAAGAATCACATGCACCGACATAAAATATGACGGAATACTAGACAAAGCACTCTTAATCAACGTAATCTGCCCTCTTTTAGATAAATTTTGCTGCTTCCAACCCACCAAATGCCGCTGCACTCTATCCACCACCACATCTCACACCCCCTCCGCCTTGAAAGTAGCCCACAGAGGAAGTCCCAAGTAGGAAACTGGTAACATAGCCACCTTACAACCCAAAATAGTTGCCAACACTAGAAGCCGCACCACCTCACCCATAGGAATCAATTTGAATTTCGCCAAATTTACCCGAAGCCCTTACACCACCTCAAAACACAACAACACACACTGCAAATGACCAATCTAAACCGCATCTACATCACAAAAAATGAGCGCATCATCGGCGTAGAAAAGATGAGAAACCACCAAAGGAGCAAGCTCCATCCCCACCTCAAACCCCGACAACAAACCCCCCTGGACCGCTCTAGATAACAGACGACTCAACACCTCCATAGCTAGAATAAACAATAACAAAGACAAATGATCACTCTGCCGCAAACCCCTCCACGTGGGAAAAACCCACCGGCATCGCATTAATCAAAACTGACTCAATTATAAAATTGATCTCTTTGCATTTTTAAAGAGAAAAAGCAAATTCATCAAGTAAATAGTTTCATGTCTCAAAGAAAATTAATAATATAAAACCTTGTGCATTTGAAAGGAATAAATAATAATTTACAAAGCACAACAGTTATCGCATTGAAAATGCTGAAAAGTGGAAGCAACCAAGATTGAGACTCTAAAAATACAACCACCAAAAAAATGCAGTAAAATATTAATAAATCATATAAACAACATATCATCTCCCAGAATGCCTCCATGGTTGTTCTTGAACAAGTTATACAAAAACTTCACTCCTATTCGTTCAATCCTTCTAAAATACCTCGTTTTCTCAAATGATTAAATTATAAAATCAGGTCTCGTTTGGGAAGCGACCGGTTTAGCCAAAAAGCCAAAAAGTTACTAAAAAAGTCAAAAAGCCAACAACCTATACCAAAAAGTCAAAGATTCTCTTTTCTCTCTACTTTTTGCACATCTTTTCGTAAAAAGCCAAAAAGTCATCCCAAACATACTAATTTTTTTTACATCATATTTTAGCCAAAAAGCTAAAAAGTTACTAAAAAAGCTTGTTCCCAAACGAGGCCAATCTCCTTGCATTTTTAAAGAGAAAAGGCAAATTCATCAATTAAATAGTTTCATGTCTCAAAGCAAACTAATAATATAAAACCCTATGCATTTGAAAGGAATGAATAATAATTTACAAAGCACAACATTTATCACATTGAAAATGCTAAAAAGTGGAAGCAACCAATATCGAGACTCTAAAAATACAACCAGCAAAACAATGCAGTAGAATATTAATAAATCATATAAACTAACATATCATCTCCCAGAATGCCTCCATGGTTGTTCTTGAACAAGTTATACAAAAACTGCACTCCTGTTCGTTGATGCTCCAAAAGCCTACAATTTATAGATGCAGGAACCTGCAATGAGAGAATAGTTGGCTGTCAAGTAGTCCATTAAATTTAAAGGCATTTTGAGGTTTTCATACATGCCTTGTTTTATACTACTATGCTGTTGGAAAGCTTACAATTGCCAATGACTTCTCAACTAGAATTTAATAGAGCATTTGTGCATTCCATGGAAACTAAAATAATAACTTGTGCTTTGATATAGCTTTTGAAGGGAAAAAATCATTCTCATGTATGAAAATGAGGTAGGTTAAGTCATTACTGCCCAGACGAAAGAAACAATATTCCACTATTGTCCTGCCCCTTAATTAGGTGCAAAATTTGATGTAGTCCTATTCACAAACATTTATTCAAGCACGTGATGGACATATAGATAATGCTAGTTTGCTCCAACTCTCAAAACAATTTTTTGGGAAAACACATTTCCCTTCTAAAAAGTTCCCAACCTTGTCAATCCACTCCTCACCAACTAGCATATAATGTAATTTTCTCTTCTCCATAATGGATTGATAAGAGAAACTGAACCATTACTTCAAATGACAGTACACGATCACTTTAGGATTAAGCGATGATAAGATATTCTTCCGTTTATGGCAAATCATCAGTTCTCAAATGAATGTTTCAATGCTTTTGAGAAAACTTTCCAAAATTCAATTCACTAATAATCCATCATAATAATATTGAATATTGAAAACAGAGCAGAAAGCCCCAATTCTAAGAAACAAATCATCTCATTAATTCATGAAACACAAAATTGAACTAAACTCAACTAAAATGAAGCAATTTGGTCAAAAGCAATCGAGGCGGGAAACAGTAAAGCTCGATCAAAAATAAGAAGATTTCAAAACCACAAAAGCCAAGATTTGAACGTGCATTAAATCAGTATTAAACTCCATTAAAGAACCAATGCAAGAAATGGGTCAGAAAAGAATCACCTGAATCAGTGGTGTTTCGCCAGGCAAAGACAAAACCAGTGGTTCAAAAGGTCCCGTGTGATCAAACTGGAAAGAATCCAACTTGGGTCTCCCAAACCCATCTTGTTTTTCGTCATCTTCATCTTCATCTTCATCTTCATCTTCATCTTCATCTTCATCTTCATCTTCATCTTCATCTTCATCTTCATCTTCATCTTCATCTTCATCTTCATCTTCATCTTCATCTTCATCTTCATCTTCATCTTCATCTTCATCTTCATCTTCATCTTCATCTTCATCTTCATCTTCATCTTCATCTTCATCTTCATCTTCATCTTCATCTTCATCTTCATCTTCATCTTCATCTTCATCTTCATCTTCATCTTCATCTTCATCTTCATCTTCATCTTCATCTTCATCTTCATCTTCATCTTCATCTTCATCTTCATCTTCATCTTCATCTTCATCTTCATCTTCATCTTCATCTTCATCTTCATCTTCATCTTCATCTTCATCTTCATCTTCATCTTCATCTTCATCTTCATCTTCATCTTCATCTTCATCTTCATCTTCATCTTCATCTTCATCTTCATCTTCATCTTCATCTTCATCTTCATCTTCATCTTCATCTTCATCTTCATCTTCATCTTCATCTTCATCTTCATCTTCATCTTCATCTTCATCTTCATCTTCATCTTCATCTTCATCTTCATCTTCATCTTCATCTTCATCTTCATCTTCATCTTCATCTTCATCTTCATCTTCATCTTCATCTTCATCTTCATCTTCATCTTCATCTTCATCTTCATCTTCATCTTCATCTTCCTTTCTTATTTTTCGTGTTTTTTTGTTTTTACTGAATTTTTTTAATATTTTAAACAATTTTTTTACTTTTTAGACACACCTAACATAAATACACCTAAAAAGTAAAAAAAAATTATAAAATTCACTAAATACCAAAAATACAAAAAAATACAAGAATTCAATATATTTTTTTGTATTTTATGTATTTATTAATTTTTTTAAATATTTTTTCACAAATTTTTTACTTTTTAGATACATCTAACTAAGGTGCATCTAAAAAAGTAAAAAAAATGTTTAACATTTAAAAAATATTTACTAAAAACAAAAGAATACGAAAACCAAAAAACTCAATTTTCAAAAAACTTAATCCAGAAAACTCAAACCAAACACACTGATTTATTCTCTTTATAAAATAAAAATTAAAAATTTTAATTTTAAAATTTAAAAAATTATTTTAGTGATGTTACAAGAAATAATATGAATATCTATTTTTTTTTTCTCATTATCATACCTAGGGTGGGCGCGGGTCGGTTGCGGCCACGAAACCTCTAATTCACTATCCGTCCGCCAGATTGGCAGATTGAAGAAAATTAATCCGCATCCGTTCGCCAATCTGGTGGATGTGGATTGAACGGATTGGCGGTTTGGCGGATGGATGCGAATCGGTTTGGCGATTTAAAATTTTACAAATTTTCAACATAATTCAACTTGTGCACTTCCTCAAAAAAAAAAAAAAAGTATTACAGTCAATGATTTAAAAAAGTATTACAATCACTGTATGTCTTATCTAAAGAAAGAAAGTTTAAAATTTTAGAATATCACGATCACTGCATGCCTCATCTACATATTATAATCACAACATGATTTATTCACATAAAGTATTACAATCTGTGGTTCTTAAAATATAATAACAATTCAAACCACCAAAACCATGAACAGAGCAGTAGTAGAGATTGTATGTTTCTGTATTGTTGCATCTATATATGTTTTTAAAAACAAAAACCAACCAGCATATATCATATTTTCTATTTATTATTTTTAGAGTTAGATTTAAAAACCAAAAAATATAGATGAATAATACGTTTATTTTTTTCAATTCAAAAAATATATTCAAGTTGAAAACTTTTTTTCAACAGAATATTTAAACTTTTTTTCAATTGAAAACACAAACATAATATTTAAACAAATTGAAAACACAAAGTCTTATAAATTACTTGGGGTGCTCGCGGTTTGGCGGTTCGGTTGCGGCCAAAGAAATCTCAAATCCGCCATCCATCCGTCAAATTGGCGGATTTGAGAAAATCAATCCGCAACCATCCGCTCGTCATCACGCATCCGTCCAAAATGCGACGGATCGGTTCGATTCGGTCGGTTTTGACGGATCGGTATATCTGCTGCTCACCCCTAATCATACTATTAAAATTCTCTTTAAAATTTTAAAATTATAATCTATGATTGTTGATGACCAAACTATCCATGGCGCTGTTTGGGAACATGAGTTTCAGGCTATTATAGCCTAATTTTGAAAATCAGCCCAAAAGCCTATACTGTAGCAACTTTTTTCTTGATTTTTCAAAAAAAAATAAATAAATAAATAGGCTGAGCGCTGGACAGTGTAGGCTGTCACAGCCGGAAATGGTTACATCAACAGCTCAATTACCATTTTGCCCCTCAGTCGGAAATTAAAAAAATATAATTGTAGGGACAAAATGGTCATTTTAATTACAAACATCTTTTCAACACATTTTTTAATACACTAACTCAAATAAAAATTTAACCCAACTTCCCAAACACAAAACTAAAATAACCTACTAAAATAGTCAAAAAGTCAAATAGCCTACTAAAATAGTCACTTCCCAAATGAGGCCCATATATCCCTATAGAATAAAGATCATACATTATTTCAAACCCTAATTCAACCCCTCTCTCGCTCTCTCTCTTCCCTCTGTCTCTCTATCTATCTCTGCAACTCTCTCTCTCTCTCTCTCTCTCTCTCTCTCTCTATCACCGTTTCTCTCTAAGCAATCCTTGCATGTTCTGGGGGCATTTCCCTAAATAAGCCAAAATAATAAGGGAATTCCCAAACTAAGCCTAGTTTTGAAAGATTTCCCAAAATGAGCTAACTCGCGGTTCACAATTGCGAGCTCAACACTTTTCCACCCCTGTCGCCTGAAACCTGCCAAAATTGAAACTCGCTGTTACGAAAAACGAGTTTGATTAAGAACTCGCAGTTACGAAACGCGAGTTTAATTAAATTTTTTTCCTTTGAACTCGCTTTTTACAAGCACGATTTCATGCTGAACTCGCTTTTTGAAAACACGAGTTCATCAAAAAATAAATTTCTTCTGAACTTGCTGTTCATAACCAAGAGTTTAGGGGAAGTTTTTTTTTCTTTAAGTGAAATCGTGGTTCACAACCACGATTTTAGAACTTATATTTAACCCCCCCAGCCCCGTGTTTTGCATTCACGCTTTCTCCTCTCGCCCTCTGCTGTCTCTCTCTCGCTCTTTACTCTCTGTTCTCTCTCTCTCGAGCTACCTGCTCTCTCTCTCTCTGGAGCTCACTGCTCTCTCTCTCTCTCTCTCGAGCTCCCTCTGATTGATTCAGTACTGTCTCTCTCTCTCGTTGGTATGGCTTCTATCATCTACTTTACTGTGAATAAATTAGGATTAGAGTTTATATTTGTGAATATATTTGTGTTTGTGAAAATGTGAATAAATTAGGGTTAGGGTTCATAAATGTGGGGTTAGGGTTAGGGTTTATATTTGTGAATAAATTAGGGTTAGGGTTCATGAATGTGGGGTTAGGGTTAGGATTTATATTTGTGAATAAATTAGGGTTAGGGTTCATGAATGTGGGGTTAGGGTTAGGGTTTATATTCATGAATAAAATGTTATGAAATCAAAAATAATAAATTAGGGTTACGGTTTATATTTGTGAAATTTTAAGTATAGATAATTTGTTGAATGTGAATGTTGAATGTGTTGAATTTTAATTATAGATAATTTGTTGAATTTGTTTAATTATAGATAATTTGTTGAATTTGTTTAATTATAGATAATTTGTTGAATTTTAATTATAGATAATCTGTTGAATGTGAAATCTTTTGCTATAGATAATTTGTTGTTGAATTTGTTGAATGTGTTTAATTATAGATAATTTGTTGAATTTTAATTATAGATAATCTGTTCAATGTGAAATCTTGAATTTTAAATTAGGGTTAGGGTTAGGGTTAGGGTTAGGGTTTATATTTGTGAAATCTGTTTAGAAATCTGTTGAACGTGAATGTTGAATGGTTTATATTTATCTTAAATCTGTTTATAATTGTGAAATCTGTTGAATGTGAAATCAGATTTGTATTGAATGTGAAATCATATTTCTATTCAATGTGACATCTGTTGAATGTGAAATCTGTTTAGCAAAATTTAAATATTATGTTTGAAATAAGAAAATGAGGGTTATGGTTTTGTATTGAATGTGAAATCAGAAATGAGGGTTTTGGTTTTGAATTAGGGTTTTGAATTGATGAATGTGAAATCATTTTTCAATTAACGGTTTTAAATTGTAAAATCAGAAATGAGGGTTATGGTTTCAGAAATTAAGGGTTAAGAAATTTATGATAAGTTAAAATTTTTAAATAATGCTATATAATTTTTTTTAGGAACAAATAATTTTTACATAATCAATAAATAATTATCTATAATAATAATAATTACATAAGAAAGAAAAACGTTAATTTGGCTGTAAAAATTATTATTAATTAGGTGATGTGGAGTAGTAATAACTTAAAATTAATAAAGTAACAAAAATAATTTTGTTCTAACTTTCAATTTTTTAAGTAAGAATAAGAAATTGAAAAGTAAGGAACAAAATTTGTGATAAGAAATTGCTATGGAAGTTTTCTCATCATTTTGGCCAGGAACAAAAGGGATATGGCAAAATAGAAAAGTCAGATAATTGAATTTTATGTCGGTGTAGGCCTGCTTAATATTTTCTATGGGTGACCCTTTAAGTAGTACACTAAAATTTTATTAACAAATTAAAAATCTAACTACTTAGAATGTTGACCCAAAAATAAAAAATAAAAGAAAACCTTAAAATATGTCATTGATGCCACATGCCCCTACGATAAGAAAAATTGGTTTGACTAAATTTATGCACTAAATTCAAATGTAATCGTGGTTAAATATAAAAAGTATAGTTTACTTGAATTTCTTGCCCCATTTACGGTTGAATTTCATTTTCGAGTTTTTCCTCCTTAAAATTCATGACATTCCCTTTTATAAATTTGATATAAATAAATGAATTTTTAGAAGTGATCTACAAAAAATTGATATAAACATTAGAGGTCGAATAATTTGATCCACAAAAAATTACAAGTCAAAACATTACTTTTT